GGTTGTGGGATTAATCCTTTAAATTCCGCCGTGGGTCGGGGTGGCACCTGCTTTTCCGCCGGTTCAGCCCCCCAGGGGGGCGCGGCGCCGAGGGGTGGAGAGAAGGACAGGGAAGGCGGGGCGCGCGGAAGGCACGCGCGGCTCCGGGCCCTGCCGGCGGGACAGCGGCACCGTGGCTGGGCGGAGCGCAGAGGCGGCCGAGGGGCTGGCGGCTCACGGCCCGCGGGTCGTGGACCCAAGGGCTGGGTCCCGAGCCCCCGCCCGGGTCCCGGTCGGGTGGCGCCATGCTGCGCTACCTGCTCAACGCGCTGCTGCAGATGAACCTGTTCGCGGACTCCCTGGCCGGGGACGCGTCCAACTCCAGCGAACTGCTCTTCGGCTTCAACGCCTCGGGGGCGGCGCTCAACCACAGCCTGCTGGCCCCGGGCGAGCCTGCTCTCAACGGTAAGCCCCTGCCCCGCGGGGACGTGGGATCCCGAGTGGGGGTAAGGTGGGAGGGCGGCGTGGAGGAGGAGGAGGAGACCAAGAGCGCCTGCCCCTCGTGGAGACCCAGGGGCGCCTCCCCGGGCGGGGATCAAGGGAGGATATGGGGCTTTGAGCACCTGAGTGGGTGCACCGGCGGGGGTCGAGGGTTTGGGGGGAGATGGTTGCTGAGTCCATTACTCCCCACCCATCCCAGGCGAGGAGAAACAGGGGTGGGTGCGGGCAAGTTGGAGCTAGGAGAGGCCGGGACCCCCTGCGGGGAGGACAGCGGAGGGGCGTGGCCGCGGGGCCACTTAGTGACCCGCCCAGGTAGCAGGTTCCCGCCGGGAACGCAAGTTTGCCAAGAACTCTACACTTAGGACGAGGGCGAGGAAGCCGAAATGGTGCGTGTGTTTGCTACAACGCTCGACAGAGGCAGCGACCGATTCAGGGAACTTAGGAGTTTGCCCCTCAGAGGCGGGCTCGCAGCCGGTCCACCCGGCAGAGCTGGGCGGGCAGGCTGCGCTGGCGGCGAGGTCGTCCACCGCTAATGACGCTGATTAATAAATCACGGCTGAGACCGCGCGCTCCTCCGCGCCCCGGGAGCCGGGAGAGGGCCGAGCTCGCCCCCTGCCGGCCGCGTCGGGAACTCCCGCGTTCCCTGGCACTTGGGCCGAGGTTCCCTCTGGTTTTTCCCCTGCCGGGGGTCCGCTGGCCTCCGCCAACTGGGATCTGGGGCGAGCGCTGCGCTGGAGACCCCAAGGCGGCGAGAAAGGAGACCTGGGCAGTGGTGTGTGCGTGTGTGTGTGTGTGTGTGTGTGTGCGTGTGTGTGCGTGCGTGTACTCAGGTGCTGGGGAGAAGCCCCAGAGCCCCATTAGCATGACCCTTAGCTATTCATTAGCTTCTGTGGAAGCCTCTCCTGAGACCCCAAATGACAGGGAAGAAATTCCAGGGGAAGGGAGTCTGCAGATGTGTCTACAGGAATTAGGGGGAAAGGGCGGACCAGCAAGGTGAGCCCTGCACGGAGGGAGCGGGGAGGGAGATGGGGAATGAGCTGGAATTCTCCAACCTGCTGACCTCCCGGATCCCCAGGAGGTTAAGCACAGAGCCCCTCCCACAGACACCTCAACGCTCTCACCTCACCGAGGGCGTTCACTCTACACTGTCCCAGTGAGGTTTGTAGGGGAGGAATTGATGGTCATGTTCGCAGTGGAGGAAGCAAATTCAGAGAAGATAGACGGGACCCCAGTGGGCACAAAAACAGCACAAGGCGTGGCTCTAACAGACCTGCCTGTTCCCATGACGTCCGATGGTTATGTGAAGGGCAAAGGGGAATGCTGGGGCCGGGGAGAATCCGATTCAGGTAGAGACTATAGTAGCCACGATAAGGTCAGGTGGGTGAGGGAGAAGAACCCTGAAATAATCTTAGACCAGCCGTATTTATTGAGTGCTTTTGGGAGAGTACATTATGGTCTTATGATGACCCTATTACTGTTCTTTTTAATATATATATATATATATATATATATATATATATATATTATTGAT